TTCTTGACGGCTGTTGAGAGAAGAGGCGAGGTCTCATGGTTGTGTACAGGGAAAATGAGCTTCCGATGGAAATCAATTAGCAGCACAAAGGAACACTCAAGTACATTATCAAAATAAATGGTGCATTATCAAATAAGAGTGATATCAATGGGAAACAACAGAAATGCGCCCCCAGGTTTCACAGAATCCCAGGATGTCAGGAGTTGGAAGGGCCCTGGAAAGCTCCCCCAGTGCAAGCCCTGCCACAGCAGGATCACCAGAGCAGTCACACAGGAACACGGCCAGGGCTTTGGGTGTCTACAGACAAGGAGACTCCACAACCTCTCTGGGCAGCCTGGGCCATGCTCCATAACCCTCACACTCACAAAGTTTGGCCTCATCTTCAGCTTGAACCTCCTGTGCTCCAGCTTGGGACCATTGCCCCTTGTCCTGGCATTGGCCATCCCAGAGCAGAGCCTGGCTCCTTCCTCCTGACACTGCCCTTTCCCAATGGATCCCCAGGAATGAGGGCACCCCTCAGCCTCCTCTGCTCCAAGCTAAAAAGGCTTTACTGATCAACAGGCTCTGGGTGATTTTATTAAACAGCATTGGTAACATTACTACCAGCATTCGTAAGAGTCCAAAGATGCATTTAGCTGGGCCTTAGTGAAATGCAAGCAAAATAAACCACTGTCTGGAGCAAAGGAAGAGTTACTGGTAAAGTTACTTCAGCAAGCGTTTCTGCAGCTCATCAAGAATTGGAACTCAGCAGTTAAAAACCAAATCCAGAACACACCTCTCCTCATCAAGTGGGGACTGGGACCCGCCGCGTTCTGGGGCTGATTAACACAAAGCTGATTAGCGCTGCTCGTTGCCTGGGTCTGGGCAGCGCCCGCGTGGCCGCCGTTCCGCACAGGTGGAGGAGTGGCTGAGGATGAGTTGTCCTTGGGCTTTGAGGTACTGAAAAGTAAAACCCGGAGTTAGATGATTGCAGAACACCCTGCCCAGATCAGGTTCACGTTGTGAACTGTGCTGTGCTCCTGACCCTCAAATGCTTCAGAAAAGCATCTGCACCGGTTGGGATTTACTGAGACTGAGCAGTGCTACAGAGCAGTGACAGGCAGGAGGCTTTAGGCAAGCCTGTACCAATGATTAATTACCAAAATTCATTAAGGAATCCAAGTACTTCTGCAGTGTGGCAGTACCTGTTTGAATGCAGCTCCATGCTAACACACCCTTGGTGCGTTTAGAAAGCAGACTCCCAACAAAAATTCATACAAAACTACTTCTCCAGTTTCCTCATTCGGATATACCCATCACCCCAGCAACTCTTGGCCTTGTCAAAATATTCTGTCACAGCATCACATCCAATTCGCTGGCAGTTATCTGGTAGACCTGGCTACTAAGGACCGAGCGATGGCAACCAGTGAAGCTCTGCCAGGAATACCCGAAGGACGTGAACTGTGCGTGGTACAAGGGTGAGGTGGATTTGAGTCCCCCCCAGAGGCTTTGGGAGCCCTGGGGAGAGCCCAAGGACTGCAAGGGCTGGGTGTGGGACCACAGCGCTGCTCCTGCCACCATGGGCTGGAGCCTCCTCTCTACGTACCTGGCTCTGAGCTTTTACCTTGCTGGGAGACCAGAACTTGTCTCACGGGTAAAAAAACCCTGCAAAACCTTGGAGATTCAGATCAGGTCAACTCAGCTCCTCCTGACCTTACAGAACTGGGGGTAACCCAGCACTGCAGTACGAACCAGCAGAGCTGGTGCTGGGCAGTGCCCCCTCCTCTCGCTGTGCACTCGCAGCCTTCACTCATTTCTATCTCTGCGGTCTCTCGCAGCACCTTACCCATCTCAAGAGGAATAACACCTTGCAGTCTCTGTTACTGGCACATTGCAATTCCTCCTGCTGCTGTTAATAAACTGCAAGTACTCGAGCGCAGAGTTTGCGCAGATTTTAGATGCAGCTTTTAGACACAGTTCTCAAGGTTTCGTTTGAGCTGCCCACAAAAGCCACCTGTGGAGGAAATATCAGCCTGGGGGGACCTTCTGGAGGAGGAGTTCTGTGAAGATGTCACCTGAGAGCAAAAGCTGCACGCACAGCAGTCGGTGCTGCACCGTAAGATGCAGTGCAAGAGGTTGATGTCTGAGTGCACTACGGCCTTGACGTGTGCTGTGTTCTACCTCTCAGACCACAAAATACCGAAAGCAAAGTGCTGCTTTCACCACACACCAAAGGAAGAGTCGAGGTTACTGCAGTCCATGTACACCAATACTGCAGACAAGAGTTTCAGCGGTAATTAAGTACCAAAAAAGCCTGTATACCTGCTCGTCCTAAAGAAACTAATACTGAAACATGATAAATCGACTTCTAGTTTTCTAGCAAGCAAGTCTGGTCACCACTAACACTTGCTACAGACAACAAAAAAGACAAATCTGGGTAACATGAACAAGTAACGACAAACAAGACCAACAGGTTTCTAGCATTGCCACTGGTAGGTTCGGTTCTTTCAGCAGCAAACTGATGGTCACGCTGTGTGGACACCTCTGGAGTATGAACTGGAAAGGTCAACGTGGGTTGTAGAATTACAGCCTTGTTAGTGGTTTTTTTTCCCCCCAAGAATTCTTTTATTTTAGAGGATCAATTCTGGGACATACAGAACAAGGTATGTTATATTGCAGGACTGATTTTGGAACAACGTGCATGGCCAGAGAGCACAGTGCTTCTGCCCACGTCTGAGAAGGCTTCACCCACACCACCACAGGTTCCAGTCAGACCAGTTGACACACCAGTTTGCTGCCGAAGCAGCCCGCGGAGCCGCTGCCAGCAGAAGCCGTGCCTCTTACCTGACATCCTCATTTCCTTGGCTTTGCAACTGTTCTGCTGTGCCAGCAGAGAGAGCAAACCCAGCCACCCCCAGGCTCGGTTCAGCCGCAGGAGCCTGCGAGTGCTGCTCCGCTGCGGCCTGAGCCAGCGCGCCAGGCTCGGTGGGCGGCAGGGGCGGCTGGAAAGCTGGGGATGTGTGCTTTCTACTTAGAGTGCCACATCTCCGGGGATTCGCTTGGAACTCCATAACCTTGACACCAAAGCTACAGAGAGAAGAGAGAGTAAACACACCAGGGCAGCCAACACCAGGGAACAGCAACGGGACGGGGATGTTATCACCCACGCGGACAAACGCAACCCCTGTTGCTCGGCATGCAAAGCAGCAACGAGGAAAGCTCCAACCCTCTGCATAGGACACCACTCATGTTAAGACAGGCAACACTACTGGGCTTATCCACACAGAGGGGCAAGCGAAAATAAGGGGAACAAACTACTCGATTACGTTTGAGGACAGACACTGATGACAATGAGGTGAAACCACTCGGGTTTACATTAAATACACACATTTCCTTACACAGCAGAGCATCTCCTCACTGGATACACCGTGCCACATGAATTTTGTTGCTATTGCACAGTACAGATTTCAAGACGGACAAAAAAAGCCACTGGATGTACGCCATGGTTTGCGTTTATGGATGAGCAGACTACAATTCTAACAGATTTTAGAACGCTTAGGGCACATTCAATCTAGAATTTAATTTTATTCCTGTGGTGTTAAAGACAATGAATCTCGAATTGGTTTTCTTCTTCTTCTGTCAGTGCTGATGAGTCTGCACGTGGCGACCCAGAGTGAACACTCGGGTAGCAATTTAACACTTGCATGAACAGCTAAAAACGAAAGAGCACATCACTTGAATACTCATGATGAGTGATAATAAATGAGCGTTACACTACGTGTTATATGGGAAAACAGCAGGTTGGATTTGTGCTCTAGCGCTCTACTGTTTGCTGTGGCATACCGTACCATCATCAACTGCCAAGTCCTATCATGAAGGCACCAGGTGACGCCACCTCAGCTTAGGGGCTTTGAAAAAGAAGCCATGGGATATCAGAAGTTAGACACTGACAGATGTCACTACGTGCACCTCTGGTTCAGCGGATTTTAACCCCCCAGTCTGTAATAGGAAAACGGTCACTGGAAGCAGTAATCACAGCTTGTGGTTTTTATCATGCACAGAGCGTGACTGGAAGCAAATACCAGCACGTTACCTTCGGACCTTCCTCAGAATGCAACAACATAGGGGAATAAATCACTACTGTTACAGCATTTCCATTCAATTCTCCTCCTGAGACCAACCAAACTGCGATCACAGCCTCCTCAGTGGTGCAGCTCTCAGGAGAGGGCTCATAACCAAACCTAACCCAGAAATGAGCCGTACCTCTCCTTCTTCAGGAGCTCCCCCTCCATCACAGTCATGCTCACGGGCCTCTTGCGCTCCAGCGTCCCGGACTCGTACTCGTTCCCAGCGTGTGCCAAGTGATTGGAATTAACAGCAGGAACTGCCACGAACAGCCCCGACACATTGAAATCTTGGTCTGAAACAGACCCAGACAGAAAGCATCGTTAGCCACACGCATACAAACAGCTCCTGGAGGTTCACCTGCACTGGGTTGTCACAAATAAAAACTCTTTGAGCTATGGCAAGAGTTTACCTCCAGGGAAGAACCAGTCTGCGTGCTGGATGATCGGCTCAATGACCGCTACGACGTGGACTGAAGTGGCTGCTGCTATTTCAGCAAGGGATCTGCAGAAGAAATTCGTACAACGCTTTATACTGAGTTCTATCACAGCAAGAAAATAATTAAAAAATCATATTAAACTAAAAGTTATGCTAAATATGATGTATCGAGTCTCCTGAGTACCACATAAAGAGCAGCTTCACACTTGGATGAAATCCAGACTGTTCACTAACATTCACAGCACTGGAAAACACTCCTAAAAGCTGCATGTGAGACTTGGAGACACAGGTTGAAAGAACATCTGAAGTGTTTTTATAGGCAGCTATTCTGCTGCAGTGAATGCTGTAAGTGACTGAAAACAATCTGACAAGAAATCCTACAGCTTCATGGAAGTTCTGCTTCGCAGCTTTCTTACAACTTACCCTTCATTCTTACAACAACTTACCCTTCATTCTTCGCCCACAACAAGTTGGGGCCCAAGACTATGGCGATGTTGCTGGGTGTCATTTTGTTGACATCGCTGTTCTGTGCAAGCTTTGCTAAAAATTTGATTAAATACCTGCAAGAGGGAAAGAAGGAACTGAACAGCAGGAACTACGAGCATTTCTTGTTCAAAGCAGCTAAGTAAAAATTCAAGAACTTGTAAAGACAGCTCCCAACAAACCAGAAATAAGACCAGCAGCCTTCTTACGTGGCAGCTGGCTACTAAGTTTCTACCCATGGATCATAGAAGTTGAACTGAATTAGCCTGGATTAGCATTTTGGTTACTCCAGCACCACAGTGACTGTGCTGCAAGTCAACAGACGTCCACACGTACCTGAAATTCGCGTGATAATGCTTAGGCAATCGGTTACAAATTCTCCATAACTCCTGTAGCTTCTTGTCCTGGTCCTGAATACTGCAAGAAAAGAAGAAACTCTGTTACATCTCAGATTAGGAAAGGGATGTTCCTGCAGGGAAAAGACGACTGCACAACCTGCCATTTACACCAAATAAATGCACCGGTTTGTATTCAGCAATTCAGACAAACCCTGAGTTCTCTCTACCTGCAACAAAAGAAAACTGCTTCAGCATCAATACCACGCAGCCAGTAGTCTGAAGCAGCTTTCGTGAATAAACATAAAATAGAGGTTTCACCACGGTTTTGTGCAATTTGTATTAAATTAAACGCCATAATTTAAAACAATCTGTCACTCAAAGTGGTTTGGGTTGGAAGGGACCTCAAAGATCATCACTTTTTAGAAAGAAATGAGAAGATGAACTGTGAGATACATGAGTTCTTTTGAATTCAAACATGAGGAGCACCACCTGATCAAAGCACGCAGAATGCTTCCCTATGCAGCTGTTTTTAGGACGCTTACTTTGCAGCTTGTGTCCACTCCTCATACAGACTGTAGGTCATCAAGGGCTCTGGCAGCTCTCGCAAATAGGATTTCAAGGCACCTGCAATGCAGACCACAAACAGGGAAGCTTCTTGGCCACTGCTTTCAGCCGTCATTTAAAACCCTGACCCCAGATCTGCAGTTTTATCTGTGCAATGGGACCCAAGTTCCAGTGAAAGAGGGAAGATGTGACACTTGCACAGTTAACATCTGCTCAGTATTTAACTCGGAAGGACTCCCAGTCACACCTGCAGTTTGACAGAAACGTGTACTGTGAAGCTCTGAGTCATCTCTTCAGAACGAAAACCTTATTAAAGGTCTCCACATGGCTCCAATCTGCCTTGATCACGTTCATGTCACTAGAGGAAATATGGTATTTGGATTACTGTGATCACCTGCATTTTAAACACTGCTCTGCCAGGCAGACAGGAATACGAGCGTGACGAGCACGCACACCCTGTACTTAGAGGTGTTGTGATATGCAATTAGGTGATCTTTCCATTTATTTCCATTCGTAGCTCCTCTGCACAGAGATCAACACCTCACACTGCAGCCAGCCAGCAGTCAAATGAACACGATGCGCTGTACCACTTTGCACTGGTTCTGATTCAGAACATTCACGGTACCTGCCACAGCGTGGGGATCTGAGTAAAACTCGTCAAGCTGGGAAGCTGAACAGTCCAAGGCAGCTTTCAGCTTTTTCAGCTTGGAGGCTCCAGCAGCAATTCTGAATAAGCCCTGCATAAGAAAAATCAAATGATTTGGTAAAAACACATTAGTACAAGCCCAAAACAGCAGAAGTTTGGTGACAGCCTCTTCAGAACAGTTTCAAGTTCGGTTACGACCTAAATGGCTCCTAATCTGTCACTGCCATCCGATGATATCTTTGTTCCCTCTCACCTTCCTAACTTTTCATTCTACCTGCGTATTTCAAACAGTGCTGCAGGTTATTGTGTTGCACAAGCTTTATCATCTACACCAACGAACAAAATCCCTTGTTAACAAGTACAGACACCAACCCATGAGCTGGAGCTCCTTTTTGCTGCCCCTCACACGATATGGTGTTACCCACCTCCTCTCTCATGCCCGTTTCCAAAAGCATCATTACACAGGCTTCAATAGGGACCGCAATCTCCCGACTGCTGCGCTTGAGATGCTCTTCCAACGGAGTCCCAAAAGCTGGCTTTTCAGTCCATTTGTCTAGTTGGAGAGTACCAAAACACTGAGCAAAGCATCTAACACACACTTGAATTACATCCCAGGCAAGAAAAGAAGAAAGCCTCCAGTAAAGCAAAAGAGTTTTCAGAATACAGGAGGAGTTTTACAGCCCTCGATTGGTAAAGTCCCGTATATCACGAGTGAGGAGAAAGTGAGCCTGCTGTGCCATACTTCTGCATCTTTCTGGCTGGAACAGCGCACACAGATGCTCTGTGCAACTGAAGTGTGTCCTGCTGGGCCTCAGCACAAGTGCCACCACATGGCTGGAAGTCACATTAGTTCTGATGCGCTAAGGCTCAGGTTTGCAAGAACTTCTGAGCACAATTGTGTCCAGATTGCACAACGTGGGCTGATCTTATTTAGGGTGCATAAAAACTGCGCTGCCAACACAAATTTTATTGCTGATTTAAGGAATCGGCAACTTAAAACGGATGTTAACAGCCCCCACGTCTCACATTAGAGTTACATCGACAGCCCATCACTGGTGCTTGCACAAGTTTTCCATTCAGTTTCCCGATTGGTGATTAACTCTGCCAGTCAAAACTGACACAGGTTTCTCCAAATTGAGAATTTCTTGTTTCCCACAATTTATTTTCTCACCTATTTCTGCTGCCCTAATTGAAAAAATGCAGATGTAGAGGGTTATTGTTAGTGCAGGTGCATTAGAGCTTCTATGTGGAAAAAAGGTCAAGGAAGCAGAGACTTTAAAAGAGTCCTGAAGACACAACGTGCTTCTGCAGAGGATTTAATTGACCCTTTCTGTTTATGAAACCACATCAACTGCACCCTCGTAAGGCTCCAGTTCCTCTCAATCATTATCACACCAGAAGCATGTGCTGTTTTCCCCAGTTTAGCAAGTTACAGCAAACTTCAGGCAGAGGAAACCTGGCAACTGTTCCAAGTCACAGGAATTTACACAGCAACCGAAGTCAAGGCCCACGCTTGGATGCTGGACACTGAACCACGCACACCGAGTCTCCTATCCCACCTCCTCGCTCATCAAAAGTTTGTATAGAGCAACTAAACAATAATTTATGTTTGCAAACAGAGCCTTCCACGCACCCCAGCGCAGCCCTGATGCTGTGCAAGCATCACTTGTTGGCACTGCCTCGCCTCCCACCAGACCTACAGAATATAGATACCACACATATATACACACATACATCATCTTTCAGCAAGATGCTCAATATTTCTTGATTTATTTAGTTTAATGGTTTATCTTTTACTACTTGCACATGGTCCACAACTGAAGATGCTCGGGTCTTGCTCAGCCCAGGTTATACTTGGCTCAGACTTTGCTCAGCCTACTTCTTGTTCAGAGCAATGAGCAGAGAAGAGTCAGTACAGGGTAGTTTCAGCACCACACAGAGCATCTTCCCACCAAACCATTAACAATGCACCCTAAGCTCAGTAGCACGGGGAAGAGATGAAGCTGTGCCACTCGCCGTTGTTAACTGCTGATATTCAACCCCATAGTGTGAACGCTCCAGCAGCAGCGCCGTGACTGGGAGAAAGGACTGCACCAAAGGAGGAAAAAAACCTCAAGCTCCTCAGAATAAAGAGGTTTTTCTGATAATCACCTACTGATAATTCAAGAAGCAAGGACTCTAAAGAGCTCCTACACCAAAATGAAACCTTCACTGGCCTAAAGAGCCAGATGTGAATTAGGAAGAGGTCACACGATATCAAGGAAGTGCAAGCAAATAGAAAAATCCTTCCTTTACCCTCGTGGGTATCAGACAGCTCCTGAGTATTTTATATTAGTGTGTTAAGATATGGCTGGAGAACTCCAGAGAACACAAAGATGGAATTATGCTTGGGAATGTAAAGTTGTTAAGTAGATCAAAATGGCCTGAATTAAATAGTCTGCATGCAAGAGAATCGAGATAAAGGAGGAGAATATTGTGCATAGGTGGCACAGGCAAGGAGAAGCATCAGCCAGAGCACAGGTTACTTTACCTTGGTGGGCTTGAATTTCGGGTAGGACCTTTTCTATGACTGCTAATGCTTTTCTATGGTAATCTGCTTGTGCCTCTAATAACTGAGAACAGAAGCCACATTTTAAAAACAAAAAGAGCGTTAGCTTCTGATGAGCACATAACACAAGACTAGAAGGTTTAGCACACAAAATGTCATCTTTGAGAACTGGGGGTCTGTCTGCAATCAAAGTCACACAATAAAATGCTCACCATGACGAAGCATCGAGCGTATTCCCCTTCTTTGGACACAAAGTTATACATGTCTGCTGCCAGCTGATCCTGTGAGAAAGGAAAGCACACAAACCAGTACATAAGATTTACAGGGGCATTTACAGAAGCACATGTGTTAATTTTGCCTGCAGTAAGCGAACTATTGACTCAGGCAGCACAGGAAGCCCTACACTACTACAGGGACAGCTTCTCATTGAATTCAAGTAATTCAAACAGATCAGCTGGCACTAATACACCTTTCAGACATAGTCTGTTAACAGCCACATCATTTGTGACCGCAGAGTCAGGCAGTGCCATGTGCAGGGCCAAAGCTGCTGTGCTGATTGTGGTGGTCACACAGAGCACAGACACTGTCCTACCTTGCACTGCTCTACTTTGTTTCCAGCCTCATCCATCTCCTCCTTCAGAGATTCTATTTTGGAAGGATGCACTTGAAAGTTTGTTCCTGAAGTCTTGTGGGCTTGGTTATACCTGGGGAAGAAAGGCTTCAGTGAAAACTAATACTAAAAGATGTTAAATATTAATATTAAACAAGAATCTGCATTTGTGGCTCCCCTGAAATTGGTTTCTTTGGACGGGAAACAAACCCAATGGTTTCAGAAGTTTTCCAACAGAATTAAGGAAGGTGCTCAAAAAGACACCATTTCTGGTGTGCTGGCATAGTTCACAAACAGCCAAACCACTCTAAAAATCCCCAAGAAATCCTGCATTCCCCACAAGCCATCACAGATCTACAATGTGCTGGAACCACCAATCCCAGAAAACACTACAGGAATTACCATCACAGCTTCAGAGCATCCAGAGGGACCCACTGAACAACCTCAGCCCCTACCCATGAGGGGTTCAATAAAATGCTGCAAAAGCACTTGGCACGGTAACAAAACCAGGCTCCTTTTTCTTATTTAAATTGACAACTCAATGGAATTGGAAAGATTAATTTTCAGCATTTTCCAATCACACAGGCACAGAAGAGCTCCAAATCCTTGCTTTTGTTTAGATCTAGCAGACAACTCTTCTGAATAACTTAGGGCTGTCTTTTTCCAGCAAAGTATTAACACATACAACAGCGTTTCAGAAACAAGTACCAGCATCAGACCAGATGCCAACAAGAAGTCTGGAACTGAAATAAAGGACCTAGGAACTGAAACTACTGCTCACCTCCCTCTTGCAGAATCCCAGTCCAACACCAACTTCGCAAGCTGCTTCCTCTGCTTCAGGATGTTCGGGATCTCTGTCTGAAACAAGAACCCCATTTATTTTTCAATCGTGTCTTGTAATAAACTGCGCTTTGTACATTTCCTGAACCGGTTTTATTGCTCTGTTTACACACAGATCTGAAGTGACTTACCTCTGTGAGCAGACAGAGCGGATCTAACACTTCTCTTTCGATCTGGACTTCGTGCTGCGACAGCTCCATCGCCAGTTTGTTCTCAGCATCACCACACGTGTCCAGCATTTTCCTTGAGGAACGACAGGAAATAATGGAGTAAGTAATGGGAGTTACTATGACTAAAGGAGCAAGGCTCAAACCAGAACAGCGGTGGCCTTTCATCTGCCGCCCTTTTGGAAAGCTCTGAGGTGTATAAAGCACGGCATTACTTGATGGCATAAACCCAAGAGGCTCTATGCTGCCGTGGGCAAATCTGGGACAGGCAAGGAGTGTCAGTAAACCTCTGTCTTGGAAAATTCCTTGGCCATTACAGCATTTTTGGAGGCTTGAAGTCACCCAGGTGATTACACCGGCCCTAAGGGCAAAGTCAGGACTGATTTCAAAGCCCATCCTTCCCTCTCACCAGATGCAGGAAAATTGCTCAGCGCAGTTTTTCATTTTCTCCTAAGCCCCTTTAATGTGAAAAAGTCTTAACACTGTGGTGCTAAGCAGCCGCATATGCAGCAGTCTGATTCCAAAACCATGACCTGAACTTTGTTTTAAGCTTGTTCTAAGGAAAAACCCCATCCTCTCAGATTCGCATCCACGTTTAAATCTCCTGCAACAGCTCACACACACAGAGAGGCTTTTCAGGTCATTCTACACCGTGTCCAGTGGAATTCCTACAGCCACGAGGAAACACATTTGCTGCAGGAATTCAGCACATGAACGTTCATTTGTTTCAGCCACTTTCCTGTGAGCTGCAAATACACACTTGGCCAGGATAAGGAAACGGGCAGTATTTTAAACTAGAAGCCATCAATGCAAACCTGCAGAGTGCAGTATTTACACTAACTTTTAAACTTTAAATTGAGATAATAATTCTACTAATCCACACAGAGAAAAGCCATTCTCAAAGGCTTTTAAGACAGCAGAGAATCCTCTGGAAGGCAATTCACAGCAAGCCTAAGCCTTGCCCCCAGGATCACTCAAAAAGTGCTTGCTCACTTTTTCTCCCCTCGGATTAGAGCAGGACTGTGGTGATATTCGTTTCACAGGCCGAAAGCAGCCGTCGTGCACCCAGGCTCTGTAATCAGAGCCCTGCAGCAGTGAAGACAGAGCGCAGCTCAGACAGCAAGGCACAACTCACCCCAGCAGCGTCTCGTCGCTCAGCTGCACCGAGCCCTCCTGCATGTTCTGCGCCAGGGCTGTCAGGGGGAGCTTCTTCTGCGGAACAGAAGGAGCAGGGCTTGGCTCGGCGCTGTTCACCCTCCAGCTTTCCCAAAACACCCCCTCCACCAATCCCCCCTTCTTCCATATGGTTTCCATTACACACACACGCAGCTCATTCTCGGACTGGAGGAAAACGCCAAGTCACAGAAAGTTTCAAGCCTCAAACTCCTGTTCTCAGATGCTTTGAAAAGCACTTTTCCTCACTGAAATGACAGGCCCAAAACATCTCTCAACTACTGTCAAAGCCAAGCAAACAGCTCTAACTTGAGATCTACGCAACTAAATCATCACGTGTCTCTCTGCAGAGGTTCATTCTGGGTGCCCCTGCTTTCACAAGGTCTGTATAGCACAATAAAAGATGACAATAGCAATGTGAATTATTTCTGGTTCTAAAGAAAACCTAGCTACGGCTTTGCTGAAGAGGGGCAGAAATCAGACATGTCAATACAAAGTTAACTGGAGATGTCAGTGTACAAAGGTAATTCTAAAGATGAGGAGTTTGATCAGAGTTCAGTCAGGTCTTGTAAGAGCTGCAGGTACTGAGCACACTGCAGAATGAGGGAGTGTTCAGGCCCTCCTAAAAGGCCCTCCTAAAAGGCCCTCCTAAAAGGCCCTCCTAAAAGGCCCTCCTAAAAGGCCCTCCTAAAAGGCCCTCCTAAAAGGCCCTCCTAAAAGGCGCTCCTAGAAGGCCCTCCTAAAAGGCCCTCCTAAAAGGCCCTCCTAAAAGGCCCTCCTAAAAGGCCCTCCTAAAAGGCCCTCCTAAAAGGCCCTCCTAAAAGGCCCTCCTAAAAGGCCCTCCTAAAAGGCCCTGTTACTGCATCTGGGAACTACAGCCAGCATTTTGCCAAACAACATCAACACGTGAGAGGATTTTGCAGAGGTTTTCTTCTCCTGGACGACTGGAGCCACAGCAGCTGAGCAGTGTTCAGGAGGCCGGGTGGTATCTGTACTTACATGTCTCTTCTCGGGATCTGTAGCATGCTGGCCCTGGAAACACGCAATTAATCGCTTCTGTGCAATGTGGCAAACAGATCTCACAGTGTCCAGACGCCTCTCGATCTAGGGGCAGCAGGGGGAGAGAGGAGGAGGAAGAGAAAGCAAACAAAAACCAGAAGTTATTTTCCTGGCCTCAGCAGAAAATGTTCCTCCTGCCCCACGCTCGGCTCCGGGCTGCAGATTTCTCAAGTTCCACCGCCTGCGGGAAGCTCGGACGCAGCAGAAATGCCCGGCAGCAAAAGGAAGGAGCCTGACGCGGGTTTTGCTCTCGGAGGCACAGCAGTGCAGGCGCAGCTCGCAGTGCTCGCAGGACTGCGGGGAAGAGGGAGAAAAACGCGGCCACTGCTTTTTGTCTCAGCAGGAGAACCAGGTCGGTAACTTGCCACGGCACGTGCAGACATCCAAAACGCTCATTTAGGGAGAGAACCGTGGGAAAAATCACGGGCTTTTTATGTTCTTTAAGGGAATTTAAGTGAGGAATTTGGACCGTATTACTTCAAAGAACACCACAAGCAAACAAAGCGATGAGCACGGGGGCAGAACCGCTTATGGCACCGAGCTCTCTATGCACAGCACCAAAAGAATGCTGTTTATCTGCATTTTGATGACTCACCAAGAATAAAAGGAGGCCCTTTGGAATGGCTTCCATTGAAAAAACAAGGGGGGAAAAAAACCAGTAGATTTCATTTGCAGAAGTGATCCGAGCAGCCTCCAGGCTTTGGTACAGCTCTCAAAGCACCCCTGTCTGCAGAGCAAACATTCTCCCAGCTTTCCATCAAGAACAAATCCAGATTAGCTGTCCGGGCAGTAATTTCGGTGCTCAGTTATGTCCCCTGTCAGCTCCTGTGCGGGTGTAAAGCAGGAGATGCACCGCTGACTGCTATGTCCCAGTGAACACAGAATGCTGCGAGTTCTCCTTCAGAATGGGGTACAGCCGGGTAAGAATGAGCTGTAACGTCATTCATGGCAAGAATGAGGTGGGTTTTCCCTCCCAGCAGGACCAGCACAGTCACCGCTTGAAGAGTCACTGTGAGGCACTAAGGGGACTAAAAGCTCCTGGAAGCCACAAGATCAACCCAAGTCGAGGTGCTCCAAAAACCTTCGTAAAAATCTATCACAGCAGAGAAAGATGCAGAGAAATCGCCCAAGAGGGACTGCTCTGAAAGCACGAGGCACGGCCTTTTATTTGCAGAGCACACATCAACAAGCCCAGAGCCAACTCCTCCTCAAACCAGGCAGCTGAAGATGCACAGGCACTGCCTGTGGTGCACGGCTGCAGCTCAGACCGTTTGTTTCTGCTGCGTTATCTCCAAAACCAAATCACAAGCCATCTGCTACTCGCAAAAGCATTTCTTTTCGCTCGGTCGCGCAGTTACGGCTTCTTAAAATACCGAGCACGGGTTTTGTGAAAGCATTCTTTTTTTTTTTTGCAAGGTCACGTAGTTAGGATTTCTTTAAATACTGAGCACAGTTGTTTTTCCCTGTGCTAGAAACACGGTGACATCCTGTAACTGCACCGTGGTGCGGGTCCCAGCCACGCAGGGCGGTTTTCCTTCCTTACAGGGGCTCCCAAAGGGCTCTTTCCAAGCACTATGAATGCCAGACTCAAAGGGCAGAAGCCCAATAGGAGGAACGTGACCCCAAAGCTTCACAGTGATACACTCCTCTCTGTGTGCACTTCAGTTCAAAGACGTCAGGAAAGCCACAGAGGACATTGATCTCCGTTAAGCTACCTCTGAACTGCAAGTGTGACCTAGAGGCCACGCTGGCCATACCCACGGGGCATCTTCAGAGCTCCAAACATCCCTCAACTGCTTCATTATACACTGCTGCAGGAGCCTTCCCAGCGCTGAATCGTCCTTGTCTGCAGACAGGAGCTCACTGAGCAGAGACACTTGAAATGGAGAGCTGCACTTCAGAAAACAGGAAAGAACCAGCGGTGGCCACGCTACGTCAGAGCTGGAGCTAAACACAAAGAAGACTGCGGGACACGTTTGTGAAGGGAGCAGGACCGTGCTTTTCGGCTCTGTAGTTAGATAAGAGCTCCCTCCCCTCCCGAGCCCCCCCGAGCAAACAAAGCAGTGAGTAAATCCTTCCACTGGGGTGCAGCCAGGCTGCTCCTGCCTGGGAAAGCCTTGCTTGCAAAATTCCTTTGGCAGCAAGCGCTTGGCTTTCGCTGCTTGTTCCTGTTCTGCAGCAAAGCGAGAGCACAGACGGGCCCTTGAAGGCTCTCAAGGTGCTCCAACATTCTCCGTCATTTAATGGCACACATCTCTTCAGAAATTAAAACCAGCACTGTCAAACCGCTCAGGGATTTATGGCTCAAACGAAGGAGCCCCCTGAAAAGCGAGGGAAAACGCTGCAGGTCGGCTCATTTCACCATTACTCAAGACGATTTCACGGATTTGTGCTGGGTTCAAGTGTGGAGGCTGATACATTCTCCCATCTTCCACTTTAATCTGAACAGCTGGAGAGATTCGGGGGGAAAAAAGTCCCTGTATCATTGGTTTGGCTTCCACATTTCACGTCCAGGTCCTGAACTGGAGCAGACTGAGATGCTGTCCAGCCAACGTGAAATAACCACTGCGCTCCAGGCCCCGCGCAGCAGCCAGCCCCACTCCCCTTGCCAATGCGTTGTCTGCCTTTAATTGATTGATTTAATTAATTCTTTCAGAAAGTAACCAGAGGAAGAAAACTCTGTAGAACAGAGCTCTATGTTTAACATGTCCACAGCCAAATCTGTTCCATGTAATCAACCTTGTTAGCCTCACAGCTGCCACTGAAATCCCACCATGGAAGCGATGCAGGATTAGGTGGTGCTCTCAAAACGATGACAAGTCTGCAAACAGCTCCAACGGCGCTGTGACAAATCTGAGAACACATCACAAGCTAAGCAAGAAGCGTTTCTACTTTTGTTTAGAGCAATTCCAGACTTTCAGAGAAACCTGGCACTATTAGCAAGCAGTTGGCATGGGGTCTGCCTCTTCTCTCGACGCCCAGGTTGACTTCAAGAGCAGTAGAAACGAAGACAGAAACCAGCTGTGCCCCATCACTGCTTCTGCCCCCTCGTGTCCTCACCAGACTGCCTGGCACTCGTCAGCACTGATGGTTCACAGGCTGCACCAGGCAGTTATCTCATTAAACACACGGCTTCCTCTGTCACTGCATCAAGCCATGCGACGGGGCTCAGAAACAGGAGGACAGGGGTTTTTCCACCCAAGTCGTATCATGGTTTTCATGAGCTGAGAAGTGAGCCAAAGACAGCTCCATCCCTGTCATTTGCAGTGTATTTTCCCCACATTAAATACTCCGCAAAGCTCAACCTTCACAAACGTCACTTAGCGAAATACACATTAGTGGTGCACAATACCTGCAGCAGGTCCTCACTGAGCACCTCCGTTTTCTCAGCCCTGAGGGAAGAAGAGAAAAGACGATTAATGAGCATGGCAGGGTCAGAGACTGCAGCAGGGCTTCCGAAACCCCTCAGCCCCAAGGTACAGCCCACTTATAGGGCACGTGTGTGTGTGTGTGTATATAAATAAATATATATTATAT